CTCGAAGAGCTCCCCGGCCCGGTGGGAAATCCGTTGGTCCTGAGCCTGCCACTCGCGGGCAGGAAATATAGAGCTATGTAGAAAAAGGCAGCTCCCAAACGGAGTCTTGGAAACGCACGTCTGTCTCCACCGCCCAGCCCCGCGCTGCACACACAGAAGCCGATGAATAAATAGACGTGGTTGAAATCGCCCCGGTGGCGTGCTGACACTGGGCCCCTCCTTCGCCGCTGCACCGCACCCCCCCAGTACCCACCGCCCCTCTGCCCGCTGTCTCACCAGGCAGTCCGGGGGCCCTGCCGGCAGAGGAGTTTACGGAAGGCCTTGCGGAAGTCCTGGTTGAAGATGGTGTAGATGATGGGGTTCAGGGTGCTGTTGCAGTAGCCGATCCAGAAGAAGAACTGGAACACGCTCTCGGGGACCTTGCAGAGCTCGGGGCAGATGGCCCCCAGGCTGTAGAGAAAGAAGAAGGGGAACCAGCAGAGGACGAAGACCCCGATGACCACGGCAAGGACAAAGGTGAACCTCTTCTCCCTGTTGAGGTGGGTCTTCCGCTTCCACGGGCTGGCACTCAAGGTCTTCACCCGCCGCACCAGCAGCACCTCCCCCTTGGCCGTGGCCAGGGTCTCCATGCCCCGGGCAGAGCTCTGGGCATGCCCGTTACTCTGCTTGAGGCTGCAGCGGGGGGAGCGCTCCGGCGGGCTGGAGCCAGGGGGCTCTTTCGTCTCCACTGGGGGCTGGCAAGGGCTAGCGACCGGTGGAGGCGGCTGCTCCTCCAGGCTCAGGAGAGATGTCCTGTGGGCAGGGCACGTCGGAGTCATCGGCGGGTCCTCGTCCTCCACGCGCCCCTGATGCCCGCTGGGCTCTCTCGCGTCCGGCTGCTGGGGAGAGGTCTCCACCGACAGGCCCGCGGTTTTCCTAGCCGCCCCCTTCTCCCCAGCCTGGGGCTTCTTGCCCGTGGAGCCGTGCCGGGTGCGGTGCTTGGCGATCAGGTAAATCCGCAGGTAGACCAGGATCATGATGATGCAGGGGGCAAAGAAGGAGCCGATGCTGGAGGAGAGGATGTACCAGGCCTCCTCGTTGAGCTTGCACTGCGGCCGGCCGGCCTCGTGCCCCCCCTTGTTCCCCTTGTAGATGAGGGGGGGCAGGGAGATGAAGGCCGCGATCATCCACACGATCAGGATGATGCACTTGATCCTCCGGGGCGTCCGCTTGGCGTTGTACTCGATGGCCCGGCTGACGGACCAGTACCGGTCCAGGCTGATGGCGCACAGGTGCACGATGGAGGAGGTGCAGAAGAGCACGTCCAGGGCCAGGTAGATCTCGCACCAGGTCTTCTGGAAGTGCCAGTAGCCCATCAGCTCGTTGGCCAGCGAGAAGGGGATGATGAGGGTGGCCACCAGGATGTCGGCCGCCGCCAGGGACACCAGGAAGAGGTTCTGGGCGGCTGTGAGCGCCCGGCTGGTGAGCACGGCCAGGATGACCAGCGAGTTGCCGAAGATGGTGAAGAGGATGAGGAAGGTGATGACGGCGGCCATGGGGGGGGGGGGCCGGGGCGGGGGGGACA